AAACACCACATTTTATTGATTTTTTTTTTTTTTTTTTTTACAGAGAGGAAGGGAGAGGGATAGAGAGCCAGAAACATCAACCAGCTGCCTCCCACACACCCCCTACTGGGGATGTGGCTGCAACCAGGCTACACGCCCTTGACGGGAAATCAAACCCGGGACCTTTCAGCCCCCAGACCGACGCTCTATCCACTGAGCCACACTGGCTAGGGCTCCTTAGCACTTCTACACCTTCACTGTTACATCTGTCCGGGGAGAATCATGCTCACACCCAGCAGGCTGCTTGCTGAGGGGACTACCCCAGGTTTGGGTCCTTGGGAAGCAGACTGAGGCACAGGAGAGCAAGCAGGATTTGAGGAAGGAATTCTCTTACAGCAACGCCCTTAAAGGGCGGGCAGGAGGCAGGACTGGGCAGAGGGGGGCGTTGAGTGGCCACGCAGTCCCAAAGGAAGAAGCCAACCCCAGAGGGCGCTCTGGAGCTGGGAAAGCGCCGCGGCCCTGTTCTCAGTCGGACCAGGAGGGCAGGGCCCTCAAGCCCCTCCCTAGGTCAGTCCGCCATGCAGGTTCCCCAGGGCTGAGGAAGCTGAGCCAGTTCCCCCGGGGCAGCTGGGCCTGGCTTCCCGCAGTGTTTGCAGCGGGTGGGAGAACAGCCCTTCATGCTGAAAGGGGATCCCAGCCCCCACCACCGAGACTCGGTGAGGTAATCCCACGAAGCCCGTAACACAGCACCTGGCACGCAGCGAAGACTCCCTGCAGGGCAGCTATGACCGCTGCTGCTGTTGTAACCTATTTACCAGGCCCCGTGCCAGAGGCTGGCGACACAGTGGCCCAAGATTCTTCTCCGGCCCTGGCCGGTGGGGCTCAGTGGATAGAGCATTGGCCTGGGGATTGAAGGATCCCAGGTTTGATTCCACATCCCCAGTTGGGGGTGAGCAAGAGGCAGCTAATCGATGTTTCTCTCTTTGATGTTTTTAACTATCCCTCTCCCTTCCTCTCTGTAAAAAAATAAATAACATATATTAAAAAAAAAAATTCTTCTCCGGTCCTCAAGAAACTCAACCCATAAGCCAATCAGACCATCCAACAAGCAATTGCAAGGCGGTGGACCTGACAGTGTGGCCCAGGGTTTGTATGGGAGCATCTAGCAGGGGCCCAGGACCCAGAGGAGGAAGGTGAGGGGGAGAGGGATGCCGAAGGGGGTGCCTGGAGAGGAAGAGTGAGCCAGCCAAGGCAGGGGAACGCGCAGGTGGTGGGGGAGGAGGGGAGGAAGCAGTGAATGCAGAGAAGAGAAAGCATGGTGTGTTCATGACCCAGTCCCACCGGCCAGCACCAGGGCACACCAGGGAGCGGGGAAAGGGTCTCGCGCACACCAGGCCGAGGAGTGTGGACGTGGACACAGGGCGATAGGAGCCATCTAACCAGGGCAAGGACTGTCCTTCGTACTTGAAAACGGCACTCAGCTGCCGTGTCGGCAACGGGTTGCACCTGGACGAGGTTAGAAGCTCCTGCCAGGCCCGGATGAGAGAGCAGGTGCCCTGGGAAAGGCCGGTGGCACTGGAGGAGGAGGCGGCAGCACCGTGCCCGGGGACATTGCGGAAGTGGGCTCTGCAGCCTGGGTGATGCCTGGATGGTAAGAGAGGAAGGAATATCCTGGGTCATGTTTAGGTTTTGATCTGCGACAATGAACTCCAGAAGGCCTGGTATCTTAGCCCAAGCGGGCCTGGGACCCCCACATCTCAGTTCACAGGTGGCTGTCTTCCCGCTCTGTCCTCACGTGGTAGAAGGGGTGAGGGAGCTCTCCAGTCTTTCTCTCTTTTTAACAAATATTTTTATTGATTTCAGAGAGATAGGGAGAAAGAGAGGCATTAATGATGAGAGAGAATTATCAACCAGCTGCCATCTGCACGCCCCACACTGGGGATTGAACCCACAACTCAGGCATGTGCCCTGACCTGGAATCTAACCATGACCTCCTGGTTCATAGGTTAACACTCAACCATTGAGCCACACCAGCTGGGCTCCAGCCATTCTTTCTATTCTTCCTTTTCTTTTCTTCTTCCTTTCTTTCCTTCCTTCCTTATTTATTTATTTTTAATTATTATTATTTTAAAATATATTTTTATTGATTTCAGAGGGAAGGGAGAAGAGAGAGAGAGAGAGAGAAACATCAATGATGAGAAAAAGTCATTGGTCGGCTGTCTCCTACAGGCCTCACACTAGGAATCAAGCCTACAACCAGGGCATGTGCCCAGACCGGGAATCGAACTGTGACCTCCCAGTACATATCATAGTTCATTCGTAGTTCGACACTCAATTACCGAGCCACACTGGCCAGGCAGCCTTTTTTTTTTTTTTTTTTTTTTTTTTAATGAGGGCATTACTCTCCTGAGTGCTCTGCCCTCATGACCTAATCACCCCCTCAAGACCCTCATCCAAATAGCATCACATGGGGAGTAAGTGTCAACATGTGCATTTTGAAGGGACACCCACAGGCAGTCTGTCGCACTTGAGGCAGGAGTGTTCTGAGAGCTGGAGTGAAAAAACCATCCAGGACAGACATGCGCTTCCTTATTCGGCATGGCTCCACGGAGCGTCTTCCTGCCCGCTCTCCGAGGCCCACGGCCACATGTCAGACAAGCCCACGGGAGCTCCTGGGGAGCAGCTACAGCGACCCCAGAGGAACCTGCTTCCTCCCTGTTGTAGTCTGGGGGTGGAGGGAGCCCAGCTAAGAATGCCCTCTTTGTTTGTTTGAACTGCAATTACAGTGGAAAGCAAATGAAGCAATGGAAGAAGATAGAAATAAAAATTCACTTTGGAGTCAATCCTTGGTAAACATCAGTATTTCTTGACTCCAGACTCTGGGCTCAGCGCTGTGCTGGGGGCTTTGGAGATAAGGAAGGATGAGATAGATACTGACCAGGGAACTTGAGGGTCCACCTCCTTCTGTGCTAATTCTTCTTATGGTAAATGAGCACTCTGCCATTCAGGTTCAAGCATCAGTCTCTCGCGTGTTTGGTGAGCTGAGCCAGTCCCTTAGTCACCTCTGTGTGTATACAAAGCTGAGCTTTGGGACTTCAGAGAAGAGGAACACACCTATGTAAGTGGGAACGGTGCCACTGGCAATGATTGGCAGGCCTCTCCAGCATTTGCTCCAAAAGGGGCGATTTGAGGGCTGAGGTGTTGTCTCTAAGCATCCCAGGGTAGGCTCTGAACTTGAGTTGGAAAAGTGGGCCCAGTCCTAACCGGTGTGGCTCAGTGGATAGAGCCTTGTCCTGCAGACTGAAGGGTCCCAGGTTCGATTCCGATTAAGGGCATGTTCATTGGTTTCGAGCACATCCCCAGTAAGGAGGCAGCTGATGGATGCTTCTCTCATTGATGTTTCTAACTATCCCTCTCCCTTCCTCTCTGTAAAAAAAAACAATAAAATATATATATTAAAAAAAGAAAGAAAGAAAAGAAAATTGGGCCCAATGATCAGTCCAAGGCAACTTCTCAAAATGCTGTTTTAAGGAAGGGGACGGGTATGCATGCCTGAACGTTCTCTGGGGCTCATTCTCTCCCCCGAGAGGAACTGGGTGCTTGGCTGAGCGCAGCCACCATTGAGTCAATGACACAAAATATTTTCATTTCAATAAGGTCCTTTCTTCCTACATGTATGTCAGGATTTAAGATAGCAAAACCAACCTCCGCCACAAAAAAGGCCCAAACCTCCAAAGAGTGTGGTCTTCCTTACAGTTGTTCGCTGCGGTGACAGTTTCTGTGTCTGAGACTCAGGAGCATAAAACTATGCGCCGCTGATGCAATCGCGCATTCTCCTGGGTTTCCAGAGGCAGGCAGGTGGATTTCCACCCGCACATCATTCTCCCTGGCCTCCTCAGGCAGATCCACATTCCTGAGCCCACAGGGAAAAACAACACAAAACACAGCGGTTAACACGTAACCCAGAGCCTGGGCGAAACTCCAGCTCAAAACCAGCGACTTTCAAGGCTCAACGATGACTGTGTTTTATACGAAGGAGCCGCAGCTCGCACCCTGAGAGCGGACTCCGGTCCCGGATACTCCGAGGAGAGGAGCGAACAGGAACCCCGAACCCGGCCGGGGGCCTGCAGACGCCGCCCCCCAGCGGCAGGGGACCCCGGGGGGCCTGGGGGTGGATGAGAAGGGTGTGGGGGTGGGAAAAGGAGGAGGGGTGGGTGGAAGGAGGAGGGGGTGGGGTGGAAAGAGGAGGAGGTGGTGGGGAGGAGGGAGTGGGGGAGGAGGGGAGGAGGAGGAGAAGGTGGGGGAGGGGAGAGGAGGAGGGGGTGGGGTGGGAAGAGGAGGAGGGGTGGGGTGGGGGTGGAAAAAGGAGGACATAGGGGTGGGAGGAGGAGGGGTGGGGTGGGGGTGGGCAGAGGAGGACGTGGGGGTGGGAGGGGGAGGAAGGGATGGGAAGGGGGGAGGAGGGGATGGGATGGGGGGAGGGGGGAGGAGGAGGGGATGAGAAGAGGAGGAGAAGGGGGTGAGGGTGGAGGAGGGGGTGGGGTGGAAAGAGGAGGAGGAGGGGATGGGGGAGGGGCGGGAGGAGGGGAGGGGCGGGAGGAGGGGAGGAGAAGGAGGGGGTGGGGAGGAGGGGAGGAGGAGGAGGAGGGGGTAGAGGTGGAGGAGGGGACGGGGAGGAGGAGGAGGGAGGGGCGGGAGGAGGGGAGGGGCGCCCCAGGCCCCGCCCCGCCCGCCCAGGCTCCATTATAGCCGGTGACTCAGGGCGGAGCTCCGCTCGCCGCCGCCAACCGCCCTGGACGGGCCCAGAAGTTTCTGGCCGGCCCGCCGCCGCCGCCCTTCCCCGCCTCCTTCCCGCCGGCCGCGGGGCGGCTGTTTCCAGACGCTTCCACCCCGCCCGGGCCACGTCACCCGCCGCTTCGATTCATAAAGGAGCCCCGGCCGCGCCGGCCCGTCGGCGCGCAGCTCCCGCTCGGCCGCGGCCCGAGGCCCCGCGCCCGCCCCGCGCCCGCCCCGCCGCCGGCATGAGCGCCGCCGCGCACTCGCCTGTGATGCAGGCGGCGTCCGGCAGCGGCGACCGCGCCCCGCTGCCCCCCGGCTGGGAGATCAAGGTGGACCCGCAGACCGGCTGGCCCTTCTTCGTGGACCACAACAGCCGCACCACCACGTGGAACGACCCGCGCGCGCCCCCCGAGGGCCCCAAGGTGAGCCCCCGCCGCCACCCCCACCCCCATCCCCCCCATCCCCACCTCATCACCCCCTCCCCCACCTCCTATCCCCCCCATCCTCCACCCCATCACCGCCGCCCCCACCCCCCATCACCCCCCGGGCGGCGGGCACCAGCCCCGGCCCGGCCCGGAGCGCGGCCGCGGGGCCTCCGGGCGCCGCTCCCGGGACGAGGCCCCCCCTTCCCGGGCCGCGCTGGGCGCGGGGGGCCGGCGGGGAGCGCGGCCTGCACCCCCCTCCCCCCCCCAGGCCGGGACCGGGGGCTGGCACCCCCCCCAGGCCGGGGCCGCGGGGCTGGCTCCCCCCCCACCCCAGGCCGGGGCCGGGGGCTGGCTGCCCCCCCCCCCCCAGGCCGGGGAGGCCGCGCTCCCCTCGGCGGACGGGGCTCCCGGCTCGGAGGAGGGTCCCCGCCTCCTGCCCCCGACACGGTGACTCAGGAGACTCCTGTGTTCGCGTTCCCTTTTCTTCCTGCTTTTCCTCTCTCTCCCCATTTCCGACGGAAGTAAAATCGGGGTGTTGGGACGTTCCCGGGGGTCCGCTCCGGTGTGGCTGTTAGACACGGGCTTCCCCTCGGACCCGGACCGGAGGCCCTGCCGCCGCCTCCGACACCGCTCCCGGCGGGACAGGGCCACGGCCCCTCCGGGTCAGGATGAACCGTCTGGGCCTGGTTTTCACACTCACACTCACACACACACACACCCCGGGAGGAGTGCTGGGACACACAGAAGTGTGCCGCTTACGTATATGCAGGGATGAGTGGCGGCTTGAAAATAACAAAAATATTGAAGAGTCTAATTTTAAAAATTATGACTAATTGCACAGAAAACTGTGCAATTATTTATATATTTGAGCCTTTTTTTTTTTTTCCCCCCCCAGAAGGAAATTTACTAGTACTTAGACCTGGCCAGGTGGTTGAGTCGGTTGGAGTGTCCTCCTGTTTATCAAAAGTTTATGGTTCAGTTGGGTTCAATTTCTGGCCGGGGTGCTGATGGGAAGCAACCGATGGGAAGTTCCTCTCCCTCTCCCGTCCTCTCCCTAAAAGTCAGATATCCTCAGTGAGGGTTAAACAAAAAAGTGAACGCTGGAAATGCATTTCTGGACAAAATGTAAATAAAAGCTCCAAAGAACTGGTAAGTTATTTTGAAGACATAAAAATTCACAAAGTTAAAAGTGCTTTCAAAGTTATTTTAGAAGGATTTATATTCTTTACCTTCAATTTATAAACTTTTTTCCTTTAAAATATTGATAAAACTCTAGTGCCCAATGATGAGATATTGTACACTCAGCAACTTACATTTATAAGAAATTAATTGTATATTTCTGAAAATTAGTATAAGCGACTATAATTAGTGCAAGAGCCATAATTATACATTTATTTGTGTGTGTCTGTCTGTTCAACCAATTAGTGGGTAAAATTCATGTCATTTCAAAACAGCCCTGTTACTGCAGTCTATGTGGATGTAGACTTCTTTTTTTTTTTTTTTTTTTTTTTTTTTTTTTTTTTTTTACATATTTTTATTAATTTTGGAGAAGGAGGAAGAGGGATAGAGAAATAGAAACATCAATGATAAGAGAGAATCATTGATTAGGCTGGCTGCCTTCTGCACACCCCTGATTGGGGATGAAGCATGCAACCCAGGCATGTGCCCTTGACCGGAATCGAACCCACGACCCTTCTGTCCGCAGACTGACACCCACTGAGCCAAACCTGCTAGGGCTAGATCTTGAGTGTGGTTAAGAAGAACAATCATTTTGAGGTTTCCTTCCTGTAGAGGCAGGGACAGTCGATCTGCTGGCACCTTTGTTGTGAGAGAAGGTCGAGTTTGAACATATCCACTCGGAGCGGAGTGCGGTGTGAGATCCAGGCTGCCAGCACTTTGTTTTCAAAGCGAAACTCACCCAGCAAGTTGAGATCCTCGTGCACCCATCCGAAGGATGGCTTAGGCTGTGGTTTCATAAAGCGTCTCGGTGGAAAAAAGCAGGTTGAATTACTATTCTTCTCAACACACAGAAAACAAGAGCTACTAAGTCTGACGCGGAAAAGTTGACTTGAATTTTAACGTTGAAAGGTCCTTGGAGATCTTTTAGCTCAGCCTCTTTATTATTTTGAAAGAGAAACTCAGAGAATTAAAATGTGTTTGTAGAGGTCCCTCAGCTAATACTAATAGCAAAGAGCACCATACCAGACGTTCCTAAGAGGAGGCAGTGTGTGTATCCAGAAGAAGGCAGAAGCATCTTGAATTTGTATGAAGCCCTGAAGTGTGTGGGCTGGAATACTTGGTTATTTTTGTGTCCTCCTGATCGCCAAGAATCGGGTAGCAGATTTCTGTGTTGTGATTACTTGAACGGTGATGGCTGGTTGTGATCAGCTCAAGAAAAGAGTTCCCCTTACCAAATTCATTACTTGCGATTTCTCAGCACGAAACCAGCACGTAAGGTGAAAACTAACATCCAGTTCGTTAGCTCTTTGGGCTTCATCGCTTTGGAGTCTGTGCTTTGATGTACACACAATATCTGGATGATTAATTCGGTTTCACTTACATGACTTAAACCTACTCCAGACCAAACACAATGGAAAGCCCTTCAGCATTACTTTATATGAGAAATCGGTTTCTTTTTTTTTGGTTAATTCTCACCCAGGGATATTTCCCCCATTGATTTTCAGAGAGTGGAAGAGAGGGAGGGGGAGAGACAGAGTAACATCCATGTGAGAGAAACACGTTGATTGGTTGTCTCCCTGACACACCCTGACCTGGGCTGGGCATTGAGCCTGTAACCAAAGGATATTCCCTTGACTGGAATTGAACCTGGGACCCTTCAGTCCATGGGCCTGTGCTCTAACCACAGCATCCCATTAGGGCAGAAACCTGTTTGTTTTTTTAATTTTTATTGATTTCAGAGAGGAAGGGAGAGGGAGAGATAGAAACATCAATGATGAGAGAAACTCATTGATTGGCTGCCTTCTGCACACCCTCTACTGGGGATCAAGCCTGCAACCAGGGCATGTGCCCTTGACTGGAATGGAACCCGGGACCCTTGAGTCCACAGGCCGTCTCTCTCTCCTCTGAGCCAAACCCGCCTGTTTGTTAGTGCATACGGGGAAAAGGCCCTGGCCAAACAACGGGCTGTTTGGAGGAGCTGAGCTCAGAGGACCCTCCGAGCATCCTTGTCTTGGAGATGCTGTCAGTCAACCAAGAGCGGTTCGTTGAGCAGGAATAACAGAAAGCCCTCTTTGGGGAAGACAGTTTCTGAGTGTTGACAGCTGAACCACGCTGATGAAGGAATGGCTTTCATTTAGTCTTATACTCTTGTCTCCTCACAGTTGATCCTCCCTCATTCCCCTGGCTGGTGAGTGACTTTATCCCCACTTTTCCAGGGGGGGAAAGTGGGTGCAAATGTTACCCTTCAGTGTGGGGGGATGGAGGGGGGTAGCTGGAGGCAAAGGCGTTGGGCTTAATCCGGCTCCACTCTGAGTGCACCTCCCACTGCAGTCTTCCTGGTTATTGATTTTCTGCACACACGGGCTGCCCACTCATCTCCGGCAAGTTCATACCAGTCCAGCCACCTCCCTGGCAGAGAGGCTGGTGTTGGCGTTGGCGTCAGGAGATGCACAATTTCCTTGCTGCCACTCCTCTGGGTTCTCACTGAATAAACAATGGCCGGCGCCTTCGGCGTTTGTCACCGCATCACTGTCACAAACCCCCTGGGACCAGCACAATTCCAAGCTTGCCAGTCTCCAGGGAAGCTTTTATTATTGGTATTATTACTAGTGGCCCGGTGCACAGATTTGTGCACGTTGGAAGGAAATTAGTTAGAAGAAATCCTTTATATCGCTATTCCCCCTTTATCGTAGAAGTGTCGGAGGTGAAGTGTCAGGTATGTTTTGCCAGTAGTTGGTCTTCAGACATATTCTGCCGACGCCTCAGCTTTCTTTCTGCTTCAGAATGTCAACAAAAACAACCAAATTGCGACCCACAATGACAGATTGAAACGTGCATGCGATTGGTGCCAGCAAGAGCTTTATATGTATTGTGCATGCGTGAGTCAACGTTTATTTTTAAATTACCAGTGTACATATGTACTGGCCAGACTGTCGGACATATGTATGGTCAGTCACTTAGTATTTTATATATATAGTTATTATTTTGTTAATTCTCACCTGAGGATATTTTTTTCCATTGATTTTTTAAGTATATTTTTATTGATTTCAGAGAGGGAGGGAGAGATACAAACATCAATGATGAGAGAGAATCATTGATTGGCTACCTTCTGTATGCCCCACAATGGGGATCGAGCCCGTACCAATGATATTTAGAATAGAAGGGAAGAGGGGAGAGAGAGACACACCACTCCACATCAATCAGTTGCCTGATATATACATCACTACCAGTGCTGGGGATCGAACCTGCAACCTAGGTACTTGTCCTTGACTGGGAATTGAACCTAAGACCCTTCAGTGTGAGAGCTGATGTTCTAACCACTGACCAACACAGGCTAGCGCTCAGGGAAACCTTTTAAGAACACAGATTGCTAACTGTGTCACTCACTATTTCCAGCCTCCCACCCCCACCCTATGTGGAATCCGAATTGCTCAGGGTAGAGCCCAGAAATCTGAAACTCAGAAAAGCTTTCCTGGTGACTCTTGAATCTGCCAGACTTGAATTTGGAGCCGCCGAGTGGCATTGATCTCATTTGGGGGGAAGGAGGTGGCAGATTGTGACAGAGGACAGTAGGCTGCTGTGGGCCCTGGAATCCCTCCTTTCCTTCTTAGAAACGCCCAGTGCCTGGCTTCTGGGAGTTGAATATGGGGGCAGGGGATGATGGGGGAGGAGGAATGGAGCCGGGGGTGGGGTGTGTGTGTGTGTGTGTGTGTGTGTGTGTGTGTGTGTGTGTGAGAGACAGTGCCAGGTATGGGGAGGGTCAGACTCAGGGAGGTTCCCAGACCCTCCTGCACCCCAAGAAAGCCTGAGTCAGTGTT